TCAAGTTTCATGTATATTCACATGTACAATAGAAGAGGGTGTGCTTTGTGAGGAAGTGCTGTCCCAAAGGTGCAGCTGATGATAGTGTTCAAGAAACAGTTTCGAAGTGCAGACTGGTCTGTTCACCTGTCGGTGCAGGGACACATCTGCCTTTTCCCAATGCAAGCAGAACACAGCCCTGGCAGGACGTGCTCCTGAGCCTGGTGGGGCCTCAGGGCACTCCTGAAACACAAAGTGAAATGAACAACCAAACTCTGCTCTTTTTTTACTTTCTGGAGATTTATTTCAGGTAATAGTAAGCTAAGTAACACAGAAAGAAGACTAGCTGGAGGCTTTTTGTTGCTTTTTTAGACTATAGTTCTTAGAACCAGGCTTTGTGGCTCTTAAAGTAGAAATTTTGAAGGATGTTTTACTGCAAACAAAGTTTTCCTTAGTTTTAGGGAGAATCACTATATAAATATAAGTTCAAGTACGAAAAGTTAATAGATACAAGTAAAGTGCCCTCTTGACTGAACTTTTGGCTGTCAGGACAGGAAAAATATTTGCAATGAAGGAACAAAACCTGATTTCATTGCTATCAGTTTGAAGCAGTTTTTTTTCCTATTTTTAGGTTCATTAATATACTGTAGTCACGTGCACTGAGTAAAATGATTATTTAATCTAGTTTCTTAAAAATTAAATGTTCTGGGAGTAAGAGAATCTAAGTAAGCATACAACAGCAAAGATATTTTCAAATTCACAAACATGGGCTTTTTGCAGTTAAAATTGCGATAGGATACTGCTGGCAGAGTCTGAATTGTATTAGAGCACCTGCAGAAGAGGGTCAGACAGAGCCTGTTTTTTAAGTTGACAGAAGTAAGATCTATGGTCCATAAAGCAAATCTGTCATTCCTTGTGTATACTTCTCAGTGAGCTACCTCTCATTTAGTTGCCAAACACATTAAAGAATACACTTTCATCCTACAGCTCATGCAAATCCCTTTGCTTTCCCTTCCAGTACCTCTATCCCTGCTGCCTTTCCCCTTTCTTTCAGAAATCTTACTTCTGTCTCAAGCCCTAACACTCTTACTTCTCATTACCCATATTTCTGAATGACAGTCGCTATCATCTGAAAAACAATTTGAATCTTAGTATCAAAATAGATGGATCCATTACAGATAGTATCGGTATTCAGCATGACAAGCCATACCTCCAAAAATCATGAGCTTCCTTGTTTTTCTTTCATTTGCATGTCTGGTATCCATCCTCTAATTCTGAGCATATTAAGATGATGGTTTTCCAAGCTCTTCTCAACACCCAAAGTGGTATGATGCTGTTTGGTTGATTTTTTTTTTTTTCACTTTTTTTTCTTTTTTAATGAATACTGAGATTTTCAAAAAAGCATGAACTTGTCTAGGAGTTTGTGTTCTAAATAAACAACCAAATATCATAAGATCTGAAATACAGTTGCAACACTGGAGATGTATAAAGATCTTGTTGTTATATATTGGATGTATTTACAAAAAAATTAGTGCTTAGTGTCATTATTCATCCAGCTGTTTTTTCATGTTTGATTCTATAGCTTTTTAATTAATCTGACATTTGTTTATTTATTTTTTAACCTTTTAAACTAGAAATATAGAGTCTGTTCTTCACTGGGTGTGTTGGAAGACCTGTGTGTGTGTCCTGGTTTGGGCTGAAATAGAGTTAATATTCCTTTTCAGGGACTAGATGAGTGCTGTGTTTTGGATTTAGCTTTGAGTTTGGTATGGGAAGAATGCTGATAGCACGCTGATGTTTTCAGCTGCTACCGAGACTCCAAGGACTCTCCGACTCCCCATGTTCTGCCGGTGCGCAAGGGCACAGGGAGCAGGGAGGGAGCACGGACAGAGCACCAGACCCAAATTGGCCAATGAAATATTCCATATCATGGAACGTCATGCTCACTATATAGAGGAGGGGTGGTTGGGAAGGAGCTCTCTCTCTTGCTTCCGGGATTGCGATTGCGGGATCTTGGTATCTCGGGGTCGGTAGCCGGGAACGGGCTGGGGATTGGTTAGCGGGTGGTGAGCAATTACTCTGTACATCGCCTGTTTATATATTTCTTTTTGTTTTCCCCCTATCATCGTCATTGTTCTCGTTTTATTGCCATTATTAAACTGTTCCTATCTCAGCCTGCGAGTCTCCCTTCACCCCTCTAATTCCCTCCCCCATTCCCAGGTGGGGAGGGGGAAGGGAGGGTGACCAGCTGCGGGGGTTGGCTGCCGACCAGGCTCAAACCACGACAGTGTGGGACAGGTCCAGCCTATGGGCTACGATAGCTCAATGGAAAGGGTGACACACCAATATGCCAACAGAAACCCTGCAACACTCAACAGTTTTCTATGTCTTGACAGTACACAAGGAGGAACCAAGTGATAAGATTCACTTTAAGCCATGCAGATAAAATCCCTTCCTCTCCGAACTGTTGGTGTGGGGGGCTTGTTTATCTGGTCGTGCTCTGTAAGGTACCCAGGGCTCCGCAGCAGAGGCTGTCACCTCGGTGGGTAACGCAGCGCTGGAGCGGCTGCAGCGCTCCGTGGGGAAGCACCCGCCTGGCCTGGGGAGCCCCGCGGGACCTTTGCCCTCCCTTGGTGTACCTGCCAAGTGTGAAAAACATTCAGAAAACATGGCACACTTAAAGCAAATGAATAGAGTAATTAGCAGAAAATGAAGAGAATAAAGAGACAAAGGCAGAAGGTTTATTTTGTGTATAAAGGTAGGAAAGTTATGTACACGTGCACAATGTAATTGAGAATAGAGAAGTACAAAGGGGAAAGGAGCAGTATTTTGGAAGTCAGGGGATGTTTCATGATGACAAGGCATTAGTGGAAGGGAAGAATTCAATTACAGGTGTGTATTCAGTTAAAGAGTGAACTGGTGCTCTGCTAATATATTCGAGATGAATAACTTGCATATTGTTGTAAATCCATATAAAAATTGTATTTAATACTGTATATACACTCATATAAACTTTCTAGCATTGAAGACAAAGTTTTGGAATCTCTATACAGATTTATTCTTTGTTTTTCATATTATACACATAGCTATTTTATGTCAGACGTACTGTTATTACATGTATTGCTTTCTAGCTTTCTTCAATATTAATACCAGAATGAAATTTTTGCTTACTGTAGTCTATCTTCTGGTGTATATTCTATAAAGTACACAGCAGTTCAAATTATGTGGGAGCTGAACTAAACCTGGTGAGGAAAAAACCCCAAACTTTATTGTGATTTTTCTCAATTTCAATTTAAAAAAAACAAACAAACAAACAACAAACTTGTAATGATGCTCTGAATGGTATTCAGAAAATAACAGACTTTGGGACATTTATGAAAGGTGGGAAATAAAAAATAGAGGTTTGATCCTCAGGCAGTGACTTCTGCTATATCCTGTTGTGGCAAAACAGTAACCATAACATCTCACTTATATGCATTTTAAGGTGTCTTAATGCAACTGTAAAATTAAAAGTGGGATTTGCTCTTCCTGAACACTCCAAGTCCAATCCACAGCAAGCTGGGTAGAACTAAAGAAATGGGGTCAGGTTTGAAGTGGGAAACTAATATCAGTGGGCTCAAGGACTTCTGCAGTAGATCAGCTGTTCTCTCTGGAGTCATAAAATCTTATGTGGTGTTAGTTAGTCTCTTCTATAACCCTGCTACATGCCATATCACTTAATAAAACACTACCTTATATATGCTTATTCTTTTGAATCATCACTCAAGGATGCTTTTTAAATGACTAAGAGGAGTACAGAATCTATACAAATGTAATCATGACTGCCCAAAGATACAGTTACACCATTCATAAATGGGTTTTGCCTTAAAGAATTGTTCGCAAACCCCAAAACTTGCTTTTCATTGCTGTTTTGTATTTAGCAATGTACTTCAGTTGTGTCTACACTCTCAAAGGCAACTACACAGATATTTTGTTATTGTAATTTTTTCTAAACCTCCTGGTATTCACAATTTTCAGGCCCCTTACTTTAATTCTTTAAAGAATCCATGGACATCCAATCACCTGAATTACCTTGATTGCTTCCTAAGAAGGAAATATCCCACATTTTTTCCGATGTCACTTGTATCTATTTATGGGGAACATAGGTTTACTTAAAGCTGTAGAAATCATTGAGTAAGCGACAAATCTATGATTTTAAAGTCTGGTGTACTTACTGGGCCTTTCTTGAAAGAGGAATCATTATGAAGATTAAGACAGCTGTATTTTATATCAGTATAATATATTGGAAGTATATAGGCTACCAGAGCAGAGGCTCAGAATTAGTGACATCACTGCAGGATTGCCACTAATTCAAATGGATGTGAGAGTGTCAGCATGTTGCCAGTTATCAATCCAAACCATTACCTAATTATCCAAAAACATCCTACATGATTTCATAGACGTGAGACCTCACTGTCAAAGAAGCAGCAATGAACATGGTATGTGATGCAAAGGTAGTGACCATCTGTCAGATTTAATGGTAAAATTAGCGTTATTGAAGGCAGTAGGTCTTTGCCACTTGTTGCAGTAGAGTTTGAATGCCACCATCAACAAATCTTATAGTTCTCATTAATATGTACTGCTTGTTGGTGTGTCCCCCTGTTGCACACTGTCAGTGTGTATGCAGTGAAACGCTTGGGTGGAGGTGGGATGAAACACCTTTTAAGACCTACTAGTATTTGTTCTGAATGTTCTGAAATTAAGTGAAAGAACAAAACCAGGTGAAAAGCGATTCAGAGAAAATAATTCAAAGAAATGTAAAACAAGTTTTAAAACTCTGATGTTTGTATTGCTTTGCTAAGCAGTTTGGTCAAGGCATCTTCTGCTGCATTAAGATACAAAAATTTAACGACTGTTTATTAATCTTCCTGTTCACCCCACTCCACTGCTGGATCATCATCCATTCGTAGAATGAGATAGGAGAGAAGCTGAAAGAGATTCTGCCACAACAGTAAAGAGACAAAAAAGGAGAGGTCGCTTACATCTACCTCACAGCGGTCTCCAGCATAGTTCACATCGCAGAGGCAGTGGAACTTGTTGAGTAGGTTCTGGCAGAGGCCCCCATTCAGACAGGGGTTGGAGCTGCACTCATCAACGTCCTTTTCACACCTAGGTGAAAGACTGCAGATAGTGAGCATCTGAAATCACAAATCAAATGCAGCAAACAGGCACATTTTTAATTCAGAATCTTTTGGGGGAAGGAAGGGGAGGAGGCTCTATTTGAAATCTGTGGTATATTTCCACACGTGTTTATGATTTTATTAACTACCTGATTAGCCACAGTCAAATCCTGAACTTCCTGTGTTATTTTCAAACACAGATAGTTAGGCCAGAAATTTCATCCCTGTAAAGCATTTCGTGGTTAATGGTGCTTAGCATTGTGAAAGTTTGTGCACAATTTTAGAGCTAAACTGGTGCAAGTCTTGCTGACAGCTTGCTTATCAGTTTTCATCGTTCCAGGGAGCTGAGGGCATATTTTCCTTCTCAGTAGTCAGGATGTAAGTCAAACAAATGTGTGATTTTCCCAGCTGAGTGCTCCTGGGAATATTCACCTGCTTTTTTTTTTTTTTTTTTTTTCTCAATTCGAAATGCCACTAGATCCCAGCAGAATCTCCTATCCAGTCTGCTGAGAATGGTAATAATGGTGCAGAACGGGGTTTTGCAAGTCTAAATATGTATCATTAAATGTTTTTGAGTTAATTCTGATGATAAAGGAAGTTTGATTTCTCATAATTTCTCAAGACAACCAATTCAACATTAATGAGGAATGTATGAGTTTGTCTGAAAACTAGTAATTATTAACTGATTTTTCTGTTCTGTCAATATTCCCTTTTAATTCCCTGCTCCTTTTTTTTTTTCATATAATGCTAACAGTTAACACTAATCTTTCCAGATAAAAACCCAGGTTTATTCTTGAAGAAGAATGTGAGAAACTCCCTTTGAATAAGGATTTGGTTTGTTCAATCATATTCAGAACCATGCAATAAATTTTTGGTGTTACATTAGAGAAGAGCAGTTCTTTATATTAAAGACTCATCTGAAATTCTTTATTGATCTCTAGAAATGTTTCAACAGTTCCCTTCAATGGTAAATTATATTCATATATTTCAAAAAGCTAAATTAATTTATTTATCCAATGTATAAAACTTGTATAGCTATGAATTTACCTATGCAAATAAAAAAAAAATCAGCCCCCCAAATATTCCAGGGACTTAGGCATTTGAGTCTATCTGAGTTTCAGGAACACTTAAAAACCGAACTCCCTTAGGTAATTTTGAAAATCCCAGACTGAATTGAATGAGAAATTTGTTTTCAAGAGACAGCTTCATCTCCTTTTACGAAGAGCAATCTTCACATTTCCCTTTCCACCTATTATTAAGTTCATTGAGCTTTTTTGTGATCCCAAATCAATTGACTGACATAGAAAGATACTATTTTCTCTATACTGCGAATCAATGGATTTCTGAGGGGTGAAATGTCTTAAAGGAAAATATCTGCTTTATCAATCTAATGCATAAATATATGTAGGTTTGGTTTTAATTTTCTTATTAACTGATATGTTAGAATTTATTCTAAGAAAAAGAAGGGGTGAAATTTTCTCATTTGATACACTAAGATCTGCAAGCATGGAAGTACTGCTGGTTTATAGTTTCAGAAACTGAAGGAGAAGAGGACAAATAGTCAATTTTAGACATTGGAGAAGAATGCCTTGCTGTGATAGTCAGTTAAAGCGCAGCACGCTTGGTACAAGGCTGCTGTTCAATATGAGAATCATGGGAACCATAAAATAGAGATTATTGCCAGCCAGTGGGATGGATGTAAGGAAGGCTCATTCCCTAAGCTGTAGTTAGCAAGTTACCTGGCAGGGGAAGGAAGAAGGTAAAAGTACTTTCCTTATACGTTGAAGTCCCAAGAAATATACACACCAAAGAAGCATCGAAGAATATGCTTTTACGTTTTTGCATTTTATTTTATTTGATTTTTTCACCTTTTTTTGAATATTGTGAGGTGGTACACAGACCTTCTCGCTGAGTTAAACAGTACAATGCAGATGTATCTGCCAACTACACTGCACACTGAGTGGGTGGAAATTCCTATTTCATCTATGTTTTATAGCTTACTGTACTGTTTCCACAAAATCAGTGGGTTAATAAATTTTTGAGAGAATGAAAACCTTTTGTTGAAAACTTCTTCATGTTTGCAGAGCCAGCATAGCTTGGTCCTGTTGAACTTTTGGGTATTATACTCTGATGTAATGCTAATTTCACTAAGAGCACATAATGGTATTTCTTTCCTCACTATTCAAAAAGGCTACCTTACCTCTTCAGACTTCAGATTATATTATGATGAGGACAATGTCTTCCTACGTTTTTACAGCACCTAATGACCTGAGGCTGTCAGGCCTCCCTGCTCCAGAGCTGTTTGAAGGACATTATCAAAAGGTAAGTGTGAATTGTGACAATACACTACAAGATACAAATTTTACTGTGAGGAAGGCCCCTCTGTTTCAGACTAAACTATAACACATAAGAAGTATTTTTAAAATTCTTTTTAAAATAACTCTGTTTTCATACTTCAGCATTCAGTAGGAAAGTAACAATACCACCAGGTATTTAATCTCATACCATCCCTGTCAAAGAATAGATTGTATATTCACAACACATAGATGTGAAAACTAAAGAGCTTTGCATATTCATGTGTCAGTGCATTGTAGATGATTTTTATATATGAGCAGGATATGTGTGTTTATGTGTCCCCCACTATGGAAAGATAACATTCTAGCTTGCCATATACAAAATTGGCATGGAAGCCAAAAACCAGACACATAGAAGCAAGTATACAGTGCTGTCTAAGAAATAATATCTTGCACTGGATTTAATGGTGCTATATTGGATTGAATCTTGCTGCATTAATTTGTGATTTTATTCTGAGTAAAACTGCTATACTTTCAGAACCTCAAAGTCATTCAAGCAAGGAACTACTGAACTTAAATAGCTGCTTTGTCTGTATTTCTGCAGAAGGGCAAAACCCCTGTGGCTGTTACCCTCTGGACCCTTCTGGAACAGCTTTTGTTACTCCACAAAGATCTGCTAGGCAAAGGATCTCACCGTTCTCCAGCAAATCCCGGCAGGCAAACACATGTCAACTCGCCGTTGAGGTTGGTGCAGTTGCCATAGTTGAAACATGTGAAGTTCCCCTCCTCATTCCCACAAACTTTATATGGTAATCTTCTGTATCTAGGTAAATAAGAAGGAAATGGCAGTTATTTGCACTTTCCTTGTTCCTGGATGTCTTGTGCTCTCTCAGCTTTTTGTTTGACTACTGCTTTAATAGAAAATATTGAGATCTACCTTGCAAATTTGTTATTTTAACAGTACTAGATTCTGCATTAGTCTCCAAATAGAAGGAGCAGTGCTCCTGCTGGCAAATGCTATTCCATACCAGTGGGAAAGGTATTACATTTTAGCTGTAAATGAACACACAGTTTCAGGGGCTGCACATACTTAGTGCCTCCTTAGTTTCCTCTTTGGAAAGGAAACCCCACATCTGTGTGCATTGACACGCCTGGTGCCTGGGGTGCTCAGGGTGCTCACAGTCAGCAGTAGACAGCAACTGAACTGGGACACAACTGCTGTTACTGGCTGGGTTATCGTCCAAAGGAAAGATGGCGGAAACTGAGATTTAAGACTCTCAAAATACGTTTTGCTTAACTTTTTAAATTTGCTGAATTTCCAAGTATTTACTGGCAAGTTAATGATTCATTCCTTAGTTAAAAAAAAAAAAAAAAAAAGACAACATTGTACCTACATTATTGATGGGGCTCTATGTGATACCTGGACAGCTTGATAAAAGAGTTCAAAAGAGAGACTTAGCAAACATGATAGACCATATTGGGCCGATATAAGGCATCCTCAGATCTCAGGATGTCCCCACGACTCAAAAAAAAGTCAACAAAAATTGACAATTGTATAATTATAGCCCAAAAGACTATGCTTGGGCAGCCTGAAGATAATTGTCTGTTTGCATCCTTTGGGCTGCAGCAGACTGGGTTTGTTGGAATCCTCTGGAGGAAGGAGAAGGATTTTGCCTTCTCTGAGAGCAACGAGACATGTTCAGAAGGGAGAAGTTTCTGGTGTGCAGAGAAGGGCAGTTAAATGAGACAGAGGCCAGGGAAGAGCCTGCAGCCTTTACAAAGGAGTGTCTGTGAAGAGTAGGAAACAGTCATGTGAGGAGCCTCAGAAGTGATGGGAAGAGTGGGCTGTGTGGTGTCTGCAGCCATCAGGCCTGCTTGGCTGAGAGAGCAAGCTTGGAGGAAAAGACTGACCTATCAAAGATGCTGTGGGTGGGGAGAACACCTTCTTTACAAGCCCTTCTTTTGTTATTTTCTCTTACCCACCAACTTTGAATTTCTCTACTTATAGTTCTAGACCTCTACTACTCTAATAAAATATATTTTTAGTGATTCAAAACCCTTAAAATCTTTTACTCTAAAAAAGATGTAACACATCTACTTCTGAACTCTGGTGGGATTGTAATCCTGTCACCAGAGAGCTCATAGGACCCAGGCCAGCAGCAGAGATGGGCAGCAGAGCTGTGCCTTGTTCCCTGTCTCCTTGCCTCATCAGTCTCTGCCTAAACTGATAGGTGTCCACTGCCTCGGTCCACATCTCATTGATCTGTACATCTTTCTGTACTGCAGCCTGTTTATACATTAATTCTGCAGCCATGATTAATATATAGATAGATGCATAACATCTGTATTTAAAATGGAGACATCGGTGATGTAATAACCCTTCAGAAGACACCTGACAAAATCATATGGATCTGCCTTGTTTATAGTACCTGCAAAATTTTCCGGTGAAGTTACCAGCACACAGGCAAGAATATCCGTTAATCCCATCAACGCAAGTGGCCCCATTTGCACACTGGTGGCCACGGCAGTTGTCTATGTCTTCTTCACAATTTACCCCTGTGTAACCAGGTTCACAACTGCACTCATAAGAGTTGATCCCATCAGTGCAGTTTCCATGAATGCAGGGGTTTGAAAAGCATTCATCGATGTTGACTTCGCAATGGGTGCCAGTCCATCCTTTGGGACATACACAATGGTAGGAAGTATAGAAGTCTTCACATATCCCCTCATGCATACAGGGATCTGAGCTGCAGATATCTACCTGCAAACAGCCAGTAAGAGCAGGGTTTGCAGAGATTTTGAGAAATTGCTCCTCTTGAGGTTTTTTAGTAGGGATGTCAGCATTCTCGAAGTATGAGAGATAAATGCCACTGATTTCTATGGTGCTCATACATCCTCGCAGGCCATCCAGACTGTCAAAAGCCTTGTCGGCCACATAGATGTCTGTCTCTTCTCTTAAAAAGTTGAGGCTTCCTGCAGCAGTTGTGCTAGTTGCAGTGTCTTTCTTGTTATCTATATCAATGTTCCATCTAGAGAACTGGGACCGAGGCTCTACCATAGAGACCATCACTTGATGCCATTTCCCATCACTCACAGGCAGTGAACTGGCAAGTGTCAGCTTATAAAAGCTGTTGCCACTTTGCAATTGAAAAAGTAATTTGGAGTTGTGAATTCTGATGGTAAAAAACTCTGGCTCCTTCTCCGCATACAGCAGTATCACGTCAGTGTCCCTAGTTCGAAAGCCAAATACGATATTGGTGAGGTCTCTGCTGATTTTTCCATTGCTTCTGTAAAATATCGCACTGCTTCGGCCACTAAACACTGCGTTAGCAAGACCTGTGCAAAGATAATAATTGAGAAACCAGGCCAACTTTAAACCAATACATGTGGAACAATGTGCTCCCTGTTGTGTAAGTCCTTTTAGGTTTGCTGAAAAACAATCAAATTCCACCAGTGTTTCAATTATCCTTGCCTGCCCCTTATGGCTATAGAAATTACGAGGCAGTGCCAACACCAGCTATATTGACATTGAAAGTGTGCTGCTTTGCATCATCTCAAGTTATTGTTCTAAACATATAATTCTACAGTAGTGTTATCTCTCTTCTTCTTCTTTAGACAAACAAGAGGCAATCATAATTGTATACCACTCAAACCCCAGGCTGAGAGGGTATTTCAAAATAAGATACATACTTCTCATTTCATGTTCATTCCCTAAATATGGGCAGCTAGTTATTCCCCATGACACATCTGGATGGGATGAACCTTTGTTCTCAATTCCTCTATTCTTAAGTACAGCACTAAAGAGATTTTAGAAAGTATTTGTTTGGATCCCAATTTATTCTCACTGATGCAGAAAGGATGAATTTAACTGAAGACAGTTGGCAAAGTGCCCCTTCAAAATCAATGCAAGAAGAGTTGTGCCTGTCATGTTTAGAGCCAGCTTCTTCTGCAGTGTATGTGCTGCCACAGCCCTATTGACAGCACCGAGCCTGCACTGGTGGGACTGGGAGAGCAGCACTGCTGTGAGTGAAAATTGATGGGCAACACTGGCAGTTTTATGGACATCTTCACAAAGGCATTTGACATCTTTCATTAGCATGGTTTCTACTAAAATGCACTAACTTGCTGGGCTGTAAATTTGCACGTTCTGAGATTTATGAGGATTATAGACAGGGAGGAGGGAGAGGAGGGAATGTCTTCTCTCTGTACTTCAGACAAATTTAGCTTTGCAAGATCCTAGCATTGAGATAAAGCAGGTTCCTGAACTATCTCTGGGCTCAGTAAATCTTGATAAAAAGAACTCCTGGGAGTCCCAGTACAAAATTATTGACTGTATATCCTGATACTAAGGCAGCAGAGGTGTAACTACATTGCCTGGCACATCAAATGTGGTGTCTTTCTCATAGGAAAAGTTTCCTCAGAGGAAACCATGCTGAAAACAAAAGTCAGAGCTTTTCAAAATTATGTCTGATTTTGTAAAATGTCTCATAAAGCTGAGTTTTTTAAGCTCATAAGGCTAAAATATTCCTTTAGAACTCTTATTAAGTCCTGAGAACAGCAAATCCCCTGGATGTGTTTTCACTCTCAGTTGTGACACTGGGTGTACAGTTTTGCTGTTACTTGATGTTCCCCACATCAGCTTCCTGTATTGGCTTTTTCTCTCATTTTGGAGGGCATGTTTTACTAAAGGGCTTGCTAATCATAGCCATTTAGATGAAACTATAGCCACATCCCCTGGAAAACAGCTCTTTTTCTGCCTTGGCTTAAAATGGTACCCGGAGCATGATGCAAGAGACTAGCTGAGAACTCACTGGACAGTGAAACTCATTTTTTTTTCATTACCCTGTGTTAGATAACAATAAGTCTATACTGTAGCTAAGAAAACAATGAGTTAAAAATACAGCTATGTAGTGCAGGAATTTTTGAATATCTGTTAAGGAAACTCCCTACTATTGCCACATAAATGAGCACAGAAATCTAAAGGTGATCTAACAGTGTAAATAACCTTGAATTTATCAAATGGAAACAGTTCAGATGCTTTTCACTTCTCATTCTGTGTGTGTTTATATTCTACCATAATATGCAATAGTAAAGTTTATGAGAGAAAGTATTTTAATGTTATCATTAAAGATGTCTATTAGAGAAGGTGCAATTATTTTAATTTCAGCTATAAATTTTAACAAGCGCTACAATGGTGATTCTAACAATCTCAACAAAAATAGCATCATATTGGTCTGTCAGCAATCTGTCTATGATAGAAATCTTTTGTTGACCAACCTTCTCATTCCTAAGAGTCAGCCACTCTAACAGCTTCCATCAGACTGTGTGTGTATTTATCTTCCTTCACAGCATCATTAGGGCTTTCTTTGATAGCAAAAAGAAAAAATATTGCTTCAAAATCCTTACTTGATGTTTAGATTCCACTCCAGGGTGGGAAGAAGGAAAGTGGAAAAGGAAAGAGATATGCAGGATGGCTAATGTTCTTAAGAAAGCTAATGTTTATCAATTTTCAAATAGACTGCTTGGCATGCAAGTGCTTCTTATGAAGATACTAGTTCAATAACGGTACTGCTGATATTAAGGTCATTTTCTTCAAATATATTTAACATTTAAGAAAATCAAGTGCTGCAATGTACGTCATGTATCTTGTCTTTTCAGGAGGATGGAGAACATCCTAAGGTTAATCCAACACTGGATATCCTCTTATCTCTTTGCAGTGGAAGTATGAAGGGTACACTCACACTCTGTCAATGTACTGGTCTGTTTTACAACCTCAACAAGTTGTGTTGAATGTCAAAATCAAAGGTCCTGTAAACATCAGTGTCTGTGTCAGGGGGTCTAGTAGAAAATTTCTGGGTTTAGTGGGGCGGACTCTTCCTGTTAATGTTACTTACAATTGACATTATTATTTTAATACAGAAATCACATTAGAATCAACTTTAGAGGCAGTGAATATTGAATTTTAAGGAAATGCTGATGAAAATATCTATCAGTTCTAATATCCAAAGATGATAGGAATAACTGAAATGAACTTACATTCAAATCCTTGGTGCACCAGCTGGCATTGTGCTTCATGAGGACAGGGGCCAAGCTCACACCACTTAACTTCCTCACATGCCTTCCCCACTGTGTTAGGGGGGCACGTGCAAGTGAAGTCATCCCATATTGAATAACACACACCACCGTTGTGGCAAGGGTTGGACTATGGGGAAAGAGAAGAGAGAACCTAAGTATGAATAAAAGCTGGTGCACTCCCAACTCTAAGGATGGGGGACCATTTAGCAAAAAACAAGAATTCTGTTTATTTCAGATGGAAAGTTATAAAGACCAGTACTAGGACAACACAGCATGTTCAATAACTGGTGAAAAATAGTATTTCAACCTCAAAATATTTTAATCCTCCCCTATGCAAATGCATTTTGCTGCTCATATTCATCATATGTAGCATAACACAACAAAATCTGCTCTTTCTAGCACTTTTACATATTTTCCTAAGATGTCACTATCATCAAATACTCTATGGGAACATACAAAAAAATTAAAAGAAATTCCTCATTATAAACATGTGAAAATCCCCTGAAAAATGGCACTCTTACCTTGCAGAGGTTGTCACCAGTGCAGCCTTGGGTGACATTGATCAGAGTTCGGTTGATAAGTGAATTCAGTGGATTGGAGATGGGGAAGAATTCCAGTGGCTGGTTATTTACTCTTACATCTTGGATGCAGCCTTTGAAATACCTGCCATTTCTATCAGTTTCTTTGTTATCTGGTAGGCCTCCAATGTAAAGAATATCCTTACTTTGAATGGTTAGTACTGGAGTAGAAATAAACCCTAGGTATTGAGAGGACTGGAACAATTCCATCTTATTCGGTTCTATTTTTAACGTTATTAAGTAAAAGTTGCCATCATTCATGGAGTATTTCCCTAATAACTTAATGGAATTTAGAACTAGCATTGTGAGTTTCCCACCTTCTAAGTAGACTCTCACATAGAGGCAAGTATTGTTTCTCAAAGCCAGTAACAAACCAGAAGATTTGCGTGTTCGGACAAACATTGATATGTTCAAATTTTCATTCTGAGTGGCATCAACAGAAAAAGCAGCATAGCCTGAGGAGCCCTCAGATCCAAACCGGCCTGCAATGTACTCTTGAGGTTAGCAATATGGGAAACAATTGGAAAAAAAAAAAAAAAAAAAAAAAAAAAAAAGAGAGAGAGAGAAGAAGGGAGAAAAATAAAATAGTTAGGGCTAAATGACAAGGGAACCAATGCAACGATCAAATAACTACTTCTGGTAATATGTACGTATGGTAGTAAGATGTGCTGGTATTTATGGATGAATAAAGACTTGATCCAGCTGCAAATAGCTTCTATTTCAAAACTCCTGTTGGCTTCCATGGCTGTAGCATTAAGCCCTGGTACCAGACCAGATGTTATATTATTTGGTATATTTTTCCCCTTTATCATGCTCTGTGTAATGCTGTGTTTTCAAATGGTTAAACAAGGACAGATTTCTACAGTTTCCTGGGTTGGTCCTCAGAAAGATAATTTTGAAAAGAACCTAGCTGCTTTGATCCTCTGATGACCATGGAAGTTAATGTAGTTCTGGAACTTTGTAATATTTTTGCACTGATTGCAATTGTGGAAATACCCAAAAGCTGCTTAGCAAACCTCTCCTGTATAAAACCTTCACCTATCTGGTAATGCATGGGCTCCCTAGTTCTCTGACAGACTTTCTGTTGCTGGGGCTCAACACATGCTTATATACACCAACTTGTATCCAGTTATGAATCCTGCTCAGTCCTGTGAGTGCCCGTAACGCTATGGTGTCGAGGGGGAAAAATGATCCAGGATCAAGTAAGCCTTTTTCTTTTTTTTTTGTGTGCTTATCAATTAAAATGATTAAACCAAAACCATCTGTCTCTCTCCCTTATTCTTTATTTTCAGTAATGATTTTCAGACTTGTAAGGATACAAAATATGTAGCCCAAACCGTATTTTATTCTGATGAATCATCTTGTTAAAGCACAACAAAGAGTTTCTATTTTTACACTTTAAGTTTTGTGATCTTGTCCTCAATATTATAGACTTCCTGCCCAAACACTTTCAAGAGCTATTTTTGATATACCAAATTCATCGAAAGAATAAACCAAGCTTTTTAAAAATGCTTACATAGCTAAAGAGTCAGTCCTCTTTTGTGCATTAAAACTCCTAGGGCAAGACCTCATAGGCCAAGTTTCTGCCTGCAGCACTACTTTTTTTATGACTACATTAAAAAACCCAATGAAAATGGGGGACTGACTGTGAAACCCCAACAGACCCTTAATAACCACACCGCACTACTACATGGCACGGTAATATTATTTAGCAACAGGAATAAATCCCTTACTTGTTCCTAAACAGATAATTTAATAAATAAATTAAATTTGAAATACTTTAATTCTATGAATAAGATTACCTATATACCTACGTCTGTTAAAACTATGGTATGTAGAAATAAATATTTGTTGAAATGGGTGTTTTGAGGCATTAAATCTCTTTAAGTTATATTTTCTCTGTGAGGTGGTACTGAGACATTTTTCCATGACAGTAAAAAGAAAATTTCTGCTGGAATGAGGATTATACATTTGCATTATTAGAAGGAAGCATTAATCTTCAAAAGGTATTTAATGTTTACAATTACTTTGTTACATTTCTCTCTATTTATAAATATACATATATATATCATCAATCTGATCTTCTGTTTGATGAGATGGCTAGCATCACCCTGGTCAATATTAACCTCTTGGGTCACAACATCTGGATGTTGATCAAAATGAGTCAACATCTGTTTGTTATTTTGTGTATGTAGAGAAAATATTGCCTCTTGTCAACTAAATAGTTGGCAGCAACTTTTCTTCAAAAAGACACTAGCTTTTCTTATGTTATCCTTTACCACAAGTCTCCCCCACTCTGCCTTTTAAAAAAACCTGCCACAGTCTTTTAAATATGGCATATATCTAGGACCTATGTATCAAAATGGCATTGTGCCATGATTTGCAAAGAATATTGTGGTCAGCAGGAAAAAAAATAAATGCATGCTTTCTAATCATTCTCAACAGTTCTAATGCCAGTATAAGCCTCTCCTGGCCCTGACTGGTTTTAATTTTGCTTCATATAAGGAGGCAAACATATTTACCAGATGTTGTCCTATACTCCAAAGTTGCTTTCCAAATCTTTGGATAAATTACAGCTAGACTTCAAAGAAGTCTGTTACAATTACCTCTCGGACTTTGTCATTTTGCAATAAAACCAAAAAGAAAAACTATTGAAAAGTATTGATAACTATTAAGTATAGCATACAAAATGAAATTGTATTTAAACATTTTGAAATGTAATTCAAGTTACAGCTTTCTGCAGCAATGCATTCATCAAAACCCCTGGGGCCAGTTGTTCAGCTGATGTAAATCAATGTAGCTTCACTGGCAGCAGTGCAACCACACCAGTTTACACCAGTTTCGGATCTGTCCATTCCAATCTGACCATGGCTTTGCTGTTGAGCTTCATTTTTTCCAGTCCACTTGGCAAATATATATACATAAATATATGTGTGTATGTATTTTTTCCTCCCTAAACCCTGCTATGATTGACCACGTGCGAATGGTTAGTAAGGGGACCAAGAGGGAAGCAGGGGCAAGGGCGCTGTGTGGAAGATGCACTCCTGTATGATTTTCTTAAATAGAACTGCTCGTTTGAAATCTCTGAAACTTCTGCTGAGGATGGATTTCAGAGTCCACCCCAAAATGTTCCTGAGGGGTACTCTATTTACAGCTCCAGAGGGTTTCAGACACCAGATGCAGTGTAGCAGGGCGCTGGGCAGGAACCTCTTGTTCTCTTTCCACCTTTCCTCACCCTGTGCATGGAAAGATCATTTGTAGCAGGGAAAGTGATAGGGGCATCTTCAGCCTTTGTATTCCTGCTCGTCACCGCCAAAGAGGCTGTTTGCTGGGATGTGCTCTTCTGTTTGCTGAGACATGGACAAGCTTCCCTCTGGTCACCAGGAAGCTCTGGTAACACAGAGATTGTCCAGAGCTGCCCTGGGGCCAGCGGAGAGATGAATGGGCCCTGTTTCCAGCCCCTGAAGCCATGCCTTCTCCATTGGGCTAATCAGATTAAGTTAATAGTATAATCTTGTTCATTTTTTAAAATTGGAATCTGTCTTTTTTTAACTTGCAGTACTTTTCTTTGCCTTTCATTGCCTTAAATGAGTTTCTTTATAAAAGTCTAGAGAGCTTGAGGATAAACTTTTCAAGGAATGCTTTGAAAGTAAGTCTTAAACTCCAAGTGACTTGGTTGCTTTCTAAATTTTACTCAGGGCACATAACCTCCAGTGAACTACAGTTTTCCAGAGTTTATGGTGTGCTAAGAGCACTAAGAAGATTTTAAAACTGGATGAGTGGAATCCACCAGTTTAGCCTGACTTTTTTTTTTTGTCAGTCTGAAAAGCAGCCTTCCTGAAAAGCAGCTAGAAAATAACAAAGGCGTGCTACTACTAACCTCTTGTGCTTTCTTACCAGTTGACATTAAGCTCCAGAGATCCTAGGGGTCACGCTGTTTCATCATCAGATAAATAGGATTGTTTATGAGCATGTTTTCAGCAACTGCTTGAAACACAAATGACAACAGCATTCCCTTACCTGCTGCGCAGCTTGGCCCGGTGTACGGCCGGTAACAATCACAGTGGTAGCTCAGCCACAGGTTGGTACAGCGTCCCCTGTTCTGACAAGGGTGTGTTTCACACCAGTCCTCTTTAGTACATCCTGTCCTGACATTTAAAGATGATTCAGGTGACACATTTTCTGGAGTAATAACATTCAAGTCTATTTCAATGTCCTGAAGACAGCCTACAAATGAAGGTGCAGAATGTATATTATAGATGCTAAGCAGAGAGTTGCCGCTAATGTTCCCCACTGGTAAGCCGCCCAAAAACGTGCTCTGAAATGCAAGCATCACGTGATCGTTATCTATCATAGCAGATGTTTTATTGAGACACGATTCTACACAAGAGCTGTCAAGCAAACTAAGAGTAACAGCTCTTGCCAAGGTTACCTCCACTGAATGCCATTCTCCATCACTGACATTACGTGAAATATGCAAAAGAGCCTGTGGCTGGTTATTGACTTCCACGGATAAGTGTAAGTAGCCATTCAGTAACTCCAACTTTGCAAATGTATTTTTCTCCCCTCGGTAAAACAGAAAAGCTGTAGGTTGTACAGTTTGAAACCTCAGGTTTATATTATAGAAAAATTCCTTTTGAGGGGTCAGGGGATTCTTCAAGAAAAGGAAACTGTTTCCTTGGAAAGAAAACGTGGTTATGGTTTCACAGTGTGTTCCAGTGTACCCAGGTGAACATATGCAGCTGAATCCATGTTTGTAATTTTTTAAATGTGGGATACATATTCCATTGTTTTGGCATTGCTGATCAGTACAGCCATGGAGAACTTCTGTACAGTTCCAGCCACCATAATAAATCCCCTCCTTGTCTGCAGGTGGGCAATGGCATGTGTAATTCCCAGGAAAATTCTCACAGATTCCACCATTTTGGCAAGGGTTCATGTGACATTCGTTGATGTCTTCATCACAGTGAGTACCTAAAGCATAAACAAAGAATTAGACATTCTGTACTGGTAACTGGAGCCCACAATGACATTTTTAATAGCATGTGTTTTATTAAATTATCCTTAATTAGAGGGGAATATCTTCATAAATAGATGATTGACTCACAAGTCTAAAATACATTAAACATAAAAATACCATTCACATGCCATGGTATTCTTGTGCAAAGTATTATATAAACACTTCAGCAATAATCACATTTTGGAGAAAAGAATCAAACAAATTGACGGTTTTGATGTGGATAATGTGATGAAATTGGGATAAACATCACCTCCAAAAAATGTGATCAAGTAATTGTTTCCTGACTATTCTGTGGTAGAAATCTAGAATGCTTTCAGAGGAACTGAATTATTTATCACATATAAAAAGCCAAGAATTGTTGCTTAATTCATATTCATAATACAGAACATTGATGAGCTGGAGTACAATCTACTCATCTTTCCTTCTCTTTCACACTCTTTCAAACAGTAGAAGAATTACAGACTAGTATTCCTGGTCCCATATGAAACATCTTGGAGCAACAGTCTTCAAGTGAGAGCCACAGGACTTATAAGTACTGTATGATATCGTGGGACAGACTGACAAGTAGGTGAACATCCCTGCAAAATGCATGTACAGCGAGCTGGCTATATCAAGAATGAAATTCACGGAGTAAGCAGGGAGCTGCACAGTGTGCCTATAAGAAATCCTAAACAGAGCTTAAACCTACATCCTATCGATGGTCTGGGCAAGACGCAGTGAGATGCATCCTGTCCACAGTGAGTGATCAGTTGCCACATTTCAGGGTTAGGTGCGTACTGTAGTTGTTTACAAATGAGCAACAGATCTCTGTTCTTCTAAAATTAAGGCATCAGTGAGTTCTGGCCTGTCAGCCATGGTCATGCTGTGAGGAGAGTTCACCTGGGCTGTAAGGATCTGAGAGAAGCTGTTCAAGGGGTTTGAACCTGTATGTCCCAGCAGAATATTCCTGGTACCTTATATCTACAGTGGAACTTTCTTTACCTCTGCTATATACAAAATATAAAGCAAGAAAATATGAAAGGAATACATTCTCAAATGTCTCAGAGCTTGGTGTTGAGACCACTTCCATAGAAAATGCACAATACAGACTCATATTTCCTCTTCTTCCATATAATGCTTGGCATCTGGTATGTTGGGTAAAAGGAGAGCTCCTCACTTCAACTTCACTGTAATTTGATAGAAATGACCTAACTATGTCTACTGGATCAGAGTTCACAAAGAAAACCAAATATGTTCCTCTTGTAAAACTAATCTGTTTATCCCTTTGCACTGTTGTTCATCTGTAAAGTAGTAATTATAGTAACTTCTCCCTTGAGTAATCAAGTGACCAATGTATATGCAATGGATCAGGGAAAATCTGTTTCTTATCTCCCTTGGAAGCAGTCAAAATATCCAAATAATTTTTTGAAAACTCATGCTAAATGGAACTCCTAATATTTCCACTTCCCATCATAGTTATTCTAGAGAAAAATAAGAAGTATTTTGCAGTTAGTTTTCAAACTAGGATCACCAGCACAAATTAGTTAATAGACATAATTATGCTTGTCCCTACAGTACAGCTGGTGCCTGTAAATTAGATAATGAGGTATGCTGAGACTTACAGAGTTGCAGCTAGGTACCAGGTACCACACATAGCTTTACATACAAATTCACATCGAGCTTTGTTTTTACAGCAAAACACATCCATTTTTCATGGAAAATTACAGAGCAGCATTCAGCCACAATGAATTGCTTCAAATAGCAGCAGATAAATGTAGTTAGGCTAATTCCTTGCCTGTCCACTTTATTCAATCACAGTTGTAACTAGTCACATCTTGGAGAGCAGTAAGTTACAGGAGAGCCAGAAGGGAACTGAGAATTGGTTGAGATTTGTTTGAAAGATTAGCCAGAGTGAAGTGGTCATAGCATGTATAAAAAAAGCTCTCTCTGCAGTGATCCTTCTCACTCATCAGTCTTCAATTATAGCATATAGTTTCCACTTGAAACTTCAGGTTATCAGATGCAGCTAGTGTTATATCCCTGGCCTGGCAGTGGGGTTTTGCAGCAGCAGTCTCTCTCTGTTTTCCAGCCAGGCTCATATTTATTCCACTGTGAGATGTCTATGTATACCTTAATGTGTAGTGGCATCTGGCAGAAACATGACTCGTTGGGACTGACTTTCTCAAAGTGAAGTGGACCGCCCAAACCGTTACTGACTGGGGGCCAGAACAATGTCTGCTTTGCCCAGTTTGTGGCAGTTTCTGTGTTAGCCACTTGTCCTGCTTTTGCCATTCTAGTATATGAAAAGTGAAGTTACCGTGAGCTGTTTCCTGTTTTGGTCAATATTTTAGTACATCTCCTTCCTGATATTGCTCCCTTCCCTGCTTTGACATCGAGAACAATGTGTCCACAGGTCCTGCATACAACTCAGTCTTAACATGACAGCTGTAGAAATGCAGGTCTCTCTGGGTTTTTGTGTCAGAGATAAAAAATAGTGCAGCCTAGAAGCAGTAGGATCAGGGATGTACTTAGCTTTGTCATAGGGCATCAGAGTGGTCAGGGCACGCTTAAGGATTTATAGACTGGGAGCCCCTATAAAACCTTCCATAGAAAAAAATCAGCATAATGAATGGCTAGATACTTAGTTTCTGAATTTTCAGTAATGCTTGATGACTCTGTATATATTATTTTATTAAACCACGGCACCTGCAAGGCATCACCTTTGCCTTGTGGCTTGTGCTCCGAATCACAACTTGCAATAGTGTCTTGTCTCTGGAAAGGATGAAACAGATGCATAAACTGAACCCACATTTACAATAATGTTTAGTGTCTGTGTTGTTCTCCACATCGTCAAAGTAGATGTAAATTTAGTGAAATTATTTCATGAGAATGATAAACTTTGGAAATCATATATGCTTCTACCCTTAAATTTAGATAACACATTTGATAACAAAAGCATCAATGTCTAGCAAAGAAATAAAATTAGTTTTATGAGGAGGTACACATATTATTGTTAGTGTATTCCTTGCCTATAGAAAATTAAATCATCAGTTATTAAATGAAAAGTGACTATCATAGAACCACTTAAATATGTGTAATTTCATAAACATTTCAGTGTCTGAATACAATGCTTATTTTTTAAGTGATGATGCTAATATGTTGTAAAATAATTATTTTGCAGGGTGTATATATATATATGTATATATATGTATATATATATACACACACATGTATACACTTACATCTATATGCCTACTATTTCATAATAAGATTAGCACAAACATAAATATAGGTCACCCCAAAAGATAAATAATGTGCTGTTTTTTTCATATAAAAAATAAATACACCAGCTGTTCTTACAAGTGGTGTAGATATTGCTTGTTATCTGCCAATTGTTATACAAGCAAAGACCACTGTCACTCAAGATAAAAGCACTCTAGATAAAAGGATTAGTCAATATTTATAGAACTGTATAAGCAGTTCAAATAGCTCAGGCTGGAGGAGAAGTTCAGCATGTAAAATAAGTATTCTCAAAAGATGTAAGACATACCAAAAGCAAGTGCAAGGGGAACTATTATTTTATTTTCAGTGGTTACATGTGTTAGCTCACCTAAACATATTTGTGTTTTTAAAGTAAAAAGTAGAATAAAAAGTAAAGCAAAATCATTCAGCATTTTCTCTTCTAATTACACACCTACCTAAAATTTCAGATAAGATGAATATTTTTATCATATTTTTATAGATAATTATTACTTTTTCCTCCTATGAAGTTTCACTCAAAACAGAAATGAAACAGCTCCTTTGACTCAGTTTGATCACACTACTCGTAACTGTCTCTTTTTTTCACTTACAGATTAGTATTATAGGGTAGCTATTTTCTTACTGTTAACGTCTTAATTAAACTATCTGTTTCAAATTTAGCAGCAAAAGTTTCCAGCAGAATCAGGATGACAAAAGCAATTATTCAAGCCTAATTCTGCTGAACACCACTAATTTTATTTTTGATTAAACAATTATAGAAATTTTATCTAAGTTACACTTTTGATACACATCTTTGATTAGAAATCTGTTTACAGTCATTTGCCTTTCCTCAACACTATATAAATATCAAGCAAGTACAAGCAAGCAGTCTGGGTAGATATTACATGTCAGTCTAAGTGCATATATAATTTCACAAAAAGAAAATATTTACCTGTAAACATTGTCATTAAAATGATGTAAACCTGTATCCTAGTTGCAAACATCTTTTTCCGGAGGAAAAAGATTATTTAGCACTTAAGCAGTCCACAAAGTAAGTTTCTGTAAAATTCAAACCAGTTCTTAGATAAAAGCTTCCTTTCCAAGATTAGCGTGCTCCACTTCTGTACCTGCTGATATAGTCTGATGGTGTATTTTGCCCAAGCCAGATAAACAAGGCTTAAAGTAAAACTCATTAAACTGCTTACGCAATATATACGTATTCTATTTAAATTCTTTTTTAGCATGTTCTGCCCAAGTATGCTCACTCTAAACTTTGATTATTTTTCACAGAAAGGTATATTTTTAGGATCCATTAAAAATTGATTTGCCACTTTTTGTTGTTTTACAAGGTGTTGTTTTTTAAGGCCATATTTTCTTTCCTTTTCAAGAGGTTTGTTAATCCAGATCAACACTTTTGTGGTCACCGTCATTCAGAGAAACTGTACATCTCGATAATCAGATAGAAAAGATATAAAATTGTATCTTTTTTCTTTATTTTATAAAGTACTTTTATTCCATTGGCTTTCATTGTACTACTTACTGGAAATCTATGGCTGTAGATTTGTGAGTGTGCTAAAGACAGGAAAAAATTTACTGAAATATTTTCTTCCTTCAGCTTTTGAACATTTTGATTTGGATCTAATTTAATCAGAGGAAAATAGAGTTCACAAGATTGAACTACTTATTTCTGTGATCATTTAAGCAGCAGACTTTTTTTTTATTTTCATTATACTTTACTCACATGATGAATTGCTTAAAATATTGTTAGAGCAATATCTCTTTGTGTATTTAGTGAAATAATTATAAAGCAAGAGAGTCTTTCCCCAGGTTGATATTTATAACATCCAACCAGCATATGGCAAACTGTGGATTCAGATCTTCGTTTTGGCAGTTTCCCATTTTAAAATTTCAACAATCCATCCTGAAGTCTGCCTCAGCCTATCCCTAAGAAAATGTTGATTTTTGGCAAATGTGTTTTTCAGTTCATTCTTCTCTCTCAATACATTTATTTATTAAATAGGAAATTTCTAACCTTGTGTCAAATTCATTTCTAGGTTCACGAAAAGACTTGTATGCAGGATCTAATTTTGGATTAATTTGATCTACAGTTCACAATTGTTTTTATGGTGATGCTCAGAAAATGGCTTCTCCTTCCAGACTCTGATACAAGCATTGAGTGATTTTTCCTATAATGAATTCAAATACCATGGGGTAAGAATGACATCCAGACTCTTTAAAAGGTAAGTAAAGAAACTTTAAACAAAATAAAGTCCTTGTTCATAAGTTAGTATGGATGTATTTTATTATTATTGCTCATTGGATGTCTTGTGGTACAGCTTGAAGTTTAATATGCATTTTTATTTTGAAAATAACAAGGAAAAGTTGGAGGTCTTCAGTAACTGTCAGTCCTTTAGCAATATGACCCTGCTAAATATTCTGAGGTAAGATTATGAATGTATATTCTATCAATAAATTGGGATAGGCATATGCTATTACAGCTTAGTGAAAAGACGGAGTTGATGACACTTCAAGACAGAGGAACTTCATAGCAGGATATTTAGCAAACTGCCTGAAGCCACGTCAGAACTGCTGGTGGATGTTTTGAACAAACCTGTGAAGAACAAGTGGGTTACTGAAGGTGGTAGTTACTCTAATTACATTAAATGTTTGATATTTTCTTTAATAACATTTTCATATATAAACCAAGGAGAAAACTCTACATGAAATCACCATAAAGTGGGTATAAAACTTATGTAATCCTGCCCAGAAAGTAATTTGTCAGAAGTTCCCTGTCAAACTGGGAGGCATTATTGATCATGTTTTGGAATTGTTCTAGGTTTGCTCTGGTTGGTGTTTTCAAAAGAGATGTGGATGATGGTATAGAAAGTTTGCTTATTAAGTTGTCTGATAAAGCAGGGTTAAGTGAAACTTTTAAATGTGTTAAAGACAAAAATTACCTTTATAGGTGAACATAAGGAATTGGAGAAATGGTCTGAAAAATATTATATACGATTCTGGAAGGACTCATTCAGTATCTATAGTCTCAGGCCAGAATAACCAGCAATCAGGTGGAACAGTAGTCCCAGATTACAAAGACTTGGTCACACCTTATCAGGAATACTGAGTCCACTTTTAGTTCTGCACCACAAGGAAGATTTGGATCAATTGGGAAGAATTCAGAGGAGAGCAATGAGAATAATAAAAGGCCTAGAAAATATGGCTTGTGAGGAATGTCTAAAAAAGTAGGGATCTTTAGTCAAAAGACAAGCAGAGGAAACAGGACACAGCAACAGTCTGTCAATACAAAAAAGAGACCACGCTGTTCCCTGAGACCACAGTAAAAAAAGTGAAGAAGTCATGGGTTTGACCTGCACCAAGGAAGATCCAAGTCACAGTTTAGGAAAATATTTCTGATGATAATAAGGCAACAAAGCCTTGGCATAAGATACCTGCTGGGAGCTATAAGGTTTGCTTTGGATCCTTAAAAATAGGTTAGAGACAAAAGTTCAGTGTGACACAAGTCAGTAAATCCTACCTTAGACACATAGGTAGCCCAAATGATACCTGCATGTCTGTCCCTTCCAATTCTATTTTTACCATGTTTCTGTGACTTCCTTGAGTAAAATAATTCTCAGCAACTGAGCTGTAGATGTGTCAAACTATACATGCACCTATATGTACCCATTCGCATAGAAGTATAAAATGCAAGTAGGAGTAAACCTTGGAGAAACTAAAATTGTAACATAGTCTTTAGAATATGCTTTATGGAAGATGAAAACAAAGAGTTTGCAATAATGCTTCCTACACCTATATTTTACAGTTTTGGAAATATCTGTTACAAAATCCTACCTCAGGCAGAAACAACTTTTTTCAAGGGACTCATTAATCCTGAGGCCAGCGGAAAGATCTGGCAGAGCATATATTCTTCAGGGCTCCAGGTTTTAGCAGACAATCATAAAAATTCTGACTTTGCCACATCTGTGCTGATAATTGCAAAGAGATAATTGCTCTTTGCTGGAAGGAGGAAATGCATGTTCATGAATGAGTAAGCGCAAGGAAATAAATTGACCATCTCTATGTCACTGTAATTAAAACTCATGCTTCTGGGCATAAATCAGTTGTCACTGAGGTCAGGAAGGAGGTTTTGCTCTTATGTACATCAGTGTACATCAAGTGAGAGGTATTTCAATAGATTTTATCCTATTTTTCTTCAGTAAAGAACTGGCTTATATTGGATACTGAACTTAATGTGACCAGTGACCTGATCTAGTGTGGCAATTTTTGTTGCTGCCTTAGCAGGAAAAGTTCGTGTAAAGTGAAGGACAGAATATAGGACAGAGCTGGAGCACATGGAAAATTGGATACTTTAAAATTGTAGGATAATAAGCATTTGCTAACACTGAGATAATTTGTGCATGATACCTTTCACACAGAACTCTGATTTTGTAAAGTTGTAAGACCTTGCTAGTTATTCCTTTATTGCAGACAAATTCACTATTCTTCTATTTTTCCTCTTGCCTTTTGAAATGTACATATAAAGTTAATACTGGCCAGGAAAAAAAATTAAAATAGAAATAGAGTTGAGTGACTTGGCTTAATCATTAAATATGTCACTCTAGCTGAGGGATATGGAATTCATAATGTGCTACATTCAGAATGGCATGCTGTAACTCAATCTTTTTAAATGTTTCTGGCCTGAAGCTTCATAGACTAGTGTGCGTTTTCAGTAAAAATGGATTTTTTTAAAGTAGTAAAAACCTCCAATCCCTTAATCTCTTCAATCATTAAACGTTTCTGAGAGCAAAAATACTTGGAAGTGGTTTTCCACTTGTTTCACATGTTTTGTCACACCTAAAATAGTTTTCATTTGAAAAAAAAAAAAAAAAAAAGAAAAAAGAAGAAAATCATGTACATGCTGTAGGTGATTAGTTGTTTAGTGAGATCTGGTGTGTTTATTTTATTTTATAAATATTGGAAACAGCCGACTGAGTTAAACATTGGCTTCAGCTTCCGGATAGATCAGCCAGCCTTTTTCATGAGCCTGCTCTGCAGACCGTGAGCACTCCTCAGGCAAAGCTGTGTGAGCAGCGCAGCCAGAGGTCAGACCCGTATAGCCTGTGAATGGCAAGGGGCCATGTCCTAGAAGGGCAGCACGGCAAAACTGTTGCTTGTAGCCTACACCTTCGTCCCATATTTCGATTAACACAGCCAGCCATGTGGATCCAATTGTAGGATTAGGGTCTGAATCTGGAGTAAAGAAAAACTTGGTGAAGAAATATGTCCCTGCATGGCACTCATTTTCCTTTCATTTCCCTACTTATAGAGTCAGCGTTATATATAGGTAAAAGAGGCAGCTGCTGTTGCATTTGACTGATGGAGGTAAGAAAGAAAATGAAACGGCGGCAGCCCAGTTTTCCCAGGCAGCATCCTTCTTGAGTGGGTTTTCTGGCTGCATGAAGGTGTCTGTAGCTATGGCCGCATCACTGATATGAGCTAGGAAGGGTCAATGAGAGGAGGGAGAGCACAATTACAGGGTGTCACAGGTTAAAATGGAGGAAGGTGGTTTATGAAGGATGCCACTAAGAAAGAAGAGACAATAGCAGGTAAGATTTTGGAGATGAAACAGATGAAAAGGTAGAGAAAAAGGTGAATGGGAAAAGGAAATGGAAATACAGGAATCAACAGTATCCCCAAAGATACTTGTGTTGGCATTTGAGACAGTGTTCTTGTTAGACACACAAGCATTTATGAGTAGTAAGAGGAGTGAACGTATATGTGTATGACCATTAAGCTACATAGAAAACATGAGGGATGCTTGGAAATACTGCAGGTTGGAGATAAAGTCTACTCAAAGGTCTGAGCTAAAATTGAGAATGGAGAAAGGAGACCACAAGGGCAATACCAAAGACAAAAGACTAAAAAACATTTAGAAAAAAACAGTCATAGATTTTTTTGTAATTCAATATAATCATGTGCACTGGAGCAGAGAAATCAAATCACAAAATGTAAATAATTAAGATAGAATCATAGAAAAATTTAGATTGAAAGGGACCTTTGAAGGTTATCATCTGGTCCAATGCTCCACTTAAAGGGTCAGGACATCATCCAGAGAAGAAATTGTAATAGTGGGTTTCAGAGAATTTGATTAGTTTATACCCAATTATGGACCAGATATTTGGAAGCCAAAGAACGATATTTGATGTTCTGCTTTCAATATGTTTCCTGTGTGTTTCTCTAAGTTCTAAAAAGATTATATATAATTCAGGAATTTTTCATGTTGTACCTTTTAGAAAACTGTGGTAAGACTGTCAAATTCAAAGCATTAATGATCTGATTTGCATTTTTTGTAGATTTATGAGCTTGTACATACAGATGATGTGTGTGCATTTGAACTAAAGCATATCCAGAGGGATCTTAAAACAACCAATACCTTTGAGTTGTTTAATTAGATCATACAAGGTCATGTTTCATTGACTTGAAAATCTGTTTGGAGCATATGATTCACTTTGGAATTGGAAAACAAATTAATTTTCAGTCCTACAAACACTTAAGGGCTTTAAAAGAGTGCTTGCTGTTGATGAACACATCCGTTGAGAAATGTATGCTGTGTCTAGTCTCCCCTAAAAGGGATTTTCTAACTTGTCTCTTGTTGGCTGCTTCCTATTTGTTGTACCTGAGGTAGGCAAGCACAGCCACAGTGCTGTCTAGTGTGAGACGGCTTCTGCCATGGAAATGGTGCTTTGAAAAATTTCAGTCATTTGCAAGGTTTTCTCATTTTGTTAAAATCAGAGTGAATCTCTGCAACATACAAAAGTGACTGTATTTACATGACTTCATTGTCAGTCCATATTGTAACAAACTGAAAAAGCCAGTAGGCTAGAAAATCATAGTTTTAATAGGGCCTATAGAACTTAACTGAGAATGGAGACATGAGAATAGAAAAATATAGATTATGAATGTGTGAACATACATAAGATGTTTGTGCTGTGTATATTTTGAGCTGTGCATAGCATAACTGTATAAATAGCATGAATATGATCTGTATTAATGCTGTGTATAGCTACGCTTCTCTATTCCTACAGTATGTCTACATAATTTATTATCACTTAAAATCCAGAAAACCAAGCCTTTTACTCTGAACTATCCACTTCTGCATTTTTTTTTGTAAAGCAATTACTCTGCCTGATGTATGTTGTCTTTCCTGTGTAAATAGTTGTGACTTGCTATAGAGCAGATGTAG